TTGTTACGATTCTATGTGTAAGCTTATTTACACTTCTCCCATGTTGCTAACTGGAACCTTCTTGTTTCCCATGAAGTTTCTTCAATTACTATGGCTGTTTGTTTAGATGTAAAGTGCAATTACAAGCAAGAAAATAGAAAATACAGAGGAAAGACTTGGAGAGGAAAATAGCTTCCTTTTGTTTTTATTTACCTGTACCATAGGATCAAAAAAGAATTAAATGTGGTTCTCTTTGAAAGATGGGATAAGGATTGAGTTTTTGTGTAACTATTAATTATTATTTTAAGATAAAATATGAAAGCTGAAATTTAGGATACATTGATGAGGCAAAAATGTTCTCTCGTCCTATATTTATAGATATTAAAATGTAATCAAATGTCAATTCCAAATCTTTGAAGTTATGTATAGCTTTTGAAAGAAAAAGGTACTTAATTTACATTTATGAATTCCATTTGACTGTATTTTTATCATAATCTTTTAAAATAAAGGTGTTTAGTATGATGGAGACTTTTGATCATTTTGCTGATACCACAGGCAAGAACTAAACCTGTGCTCTATGCTTCCATTTTTTACCGCTTTGACTTGGCTCATAAAATAAAATTATTTAGTAATTATCTAACATGCTGATCTTGTTGGTGATTATAGCAGATTTTATTTAAACAAATGAATGTTTCCATTGAATCTTATGATCTACTCTAATTCCCTTAGTTGTCTTTTTCATAATAAATCAATCAAATTGGTAACAAAAAATAACTAAGAAGAGTGATAAAATCCTTGTAACCTTGCTACAACACTGGAATTTGGTCTATGGCTTGTAAATTTTGAACCACATCCAGTGGATTTTGTGACAAATAAAAAGCAATCTCCTTAATGCAGTTTTCTAACCAAGTCTAGGGTATAGTACCTAGGGATAGTTTTACAACAAGAGCATGGTGTAATTTCAATAGTTCATTTGTAATATAAATTTGAATGGGGTGAATAATTAAATTAAATTACATTTTTCCTCCTGAGAGTGTAGTGATAATTAAAGGTTTTCCCAAGTATGTTGTCGTATACTTGCTCTCAATGTGTAATTTTGTAATAGCCTAACCCAAACTGTGTTCTTTAACACTGTACTAGATCAATAGAGGAACCAATACAGTCTTACAGAATAACGTAGTTGCTGGATTTGGAAGAGCAGGATACCGCATTGATGGTGAACCTTGCTCAAGTAAGTCTTTTAACATAGAATTAGTAAAACGAGGAAATACCTTGTTCAAATTTGTTAGAAATAAATAATTGTCAGTTCAATATGTGATATCTCTTTCTTCTGGACACTGAAAGAACTCAACAAGGTACACCATTTCAGGAAAACATTGGGTCTAAAAAAATGGATAGAATTTTAAGGAAAACTTTGTTTTTCCAGATTATGATCCAAAAACTCAGCAGCAACTCCAGTTCTTGATTTGGTTGGTACTGGAACAGTGAATACCTTGTCCCACTACCACTTTTACAAAAATAATACTTCTTATCATAAAGATACATGCTGATAGGGATATGCCAGTATTTTGTAGTTCTGCTTTAAAAGAATAAATGCTCACTATTTGCATGTTAAAATCTACATACATAAAAAAAGTCAAAGTACAGTTCTGAGATATATTTCCCTCTATGAGACTAGTAAAAACTAAGAACTAACTGATCTACTCTTTGGGCAAGGCTGTAGGGAAAAGGAACATCTACACACTGTGGCCTGAATGACAAAACGATGTGACTTCTGCATAGGAGAATCTGACAATGTCCGCCAAAATCACAAGTGCATCTATCTTTGACTCAGCACTTCCACTTCTAGTAATGTAGCTAACAGTTGCTTTTACACACTAAAAAATTATTTGTGAACAAAGTTATTTATCACAGAATTGTCTGTACTAGCAGAAAACTGAAAGCCTTTCTATGTCCCATGTTAGACTGGTTGTATAAAGCCAACTGCCTGGAACACCAGGCTCCTCTAGAAAAGAAGGCAGAAGAGCTCTATGTATGGATCCAGGGAAATCTCCAGGATATTCTTAAGTGATAATGGGAGGGTGCAAAATAGTATATATAATGCTGTTTTGTGTATAATATGTTTTGTGGAAGAAAGGGAAGAAAACAAAAAGTCATAGAAAGTGAGTAGGAATAAGAGACTTGGTACTTACAATTGTATGACTTTTTATAACCTCTTGATTTTCATCCATGTAAGTAAATTATTACCAGATCAAAAAAGTAAAATAAATAATAAAACTGCAGATTTTACCCCTTGAAAGCGTAAAGAAAGTTAAAGGAAATGGGACTTTCTCTGAAAAATGTATGTTCCTTCTAGAGTTGATTTTTTTAAATCTCAGTGTAATTATTTTTTAACAGCTTTGTTTAGTATAATTTATATACCATAAAATTCTCCTGCTTTTTTAGTGTACTAGTCAGGAAGTTTAGTTATTTTTAAGATT